AGTATTATGTTTTTAAAGTAATACACCATTACTAAATAGAATTCATTACAGGGATCAAAGGATGGTTTGATGTTTAAGAACTCTATTACTAGAATTATTAATCTTAATAGACCAAAGAGAAAAATTAGGATCTCTTAGTTTTTTGCCCGGACATGCACAAAATAAAATAACACCTACTTGTAATTTTTGAGACTATGAAACTCAAAGACAAAACTCCTAGAGGAGTGGAACTAGCTGAATAGTTTCTTAATATAACAAAGATATTGCACGGTGTTAGCCAGTATCATCCTTAGTGATAAAACACTAGATGTTGTCCTGTTAAAGTTAGGAGTATGACTATTAATAAATGCCATCCCAATTAAAATCTCAATTTATTTTGATAAATGGTTCTAAAGATTTATTTGGAAGAATAAGATGAGAATAGTCCAGAAATTTTTAAATAAGGAAAAAAAATTGAGGGCTGCACTAACCTTATTGGAATTTAAATATTATAAATTTAAAGTAATTAAAAAAGAGGTCTAGGGTTCGCTCTACAAAACTGTGTAACATAGGGAGCCAGAAATCCTATCTAATAAAGAGGGAATATGCTAATTGACCCTCACACCATCACAAAGATGGCATTACCCACAGCCAATAAGGAGGGAATATGCTAATTGACTGCCATGTCCTCAAAGATGGCGGCGCCCAGTCCTCTGAGCCCCACCAGGGCGGCAGGCATGCGGCAAGGCTGGAGTCCCCCAGTCCCCTCAGCCCCCCAGCCGCCCAGGGCAAGCCTGAGGTGCAGGCAAGCCTCGGATGGTGGCTGCCCAGCCTCCCAGGGCTGCCTGAGGCTCAGGTAACCAGGGCCGGCCGAGGCTTGTGCTGCCAGCAGTGGCAGCAGCAGAGGTGTGATGGGGCATCGCCTTACCATGATCGCCGGCTCAACTCCTGCCCCTGAGGGCTCCTGGACTGTGAGAGGGGGCAGTCCGGGCTGAGGGACCCCCCTCCAGTGCATGAATTTTCATGCACCAGGCCTCTAGTGTATATAAATAAAAGCCTAAGCAACCAGCCAACCGGCCAGTAGCTATGATGCGCAATGACCACCAGAGGGCAGACACTCAACGCACAGGCATGGAAACATGGAATAGACTGATGAATCGAAGAGGGAAGGGGTAGGGGGGAGGGTGGGAAGATATTAACCAAAGATCTTACATGCATACTAGAGGCCTGGTGCACCGGTGGGGTCCCTCGGCCTGGCCTGCAGGGATCAGGCCAAAACCGGCTCTCCAACATCCCCCAAGCGGTCCTGGATTGCAAGAGGGCGCAGGCCAGGCCGAGGGACCTCTGGTAATACTTATAAGTGTGAGTGGTTTTTCAAGTTACTGGAGAAAAGATGAGAAACAAGCACTCTCATATTGACAGTGGGAGAATAAATTTTAGTAACTTTTTTGAAAGGCAATTCGATAGCTGTTACATTTCAAATGTAAGAATACTTTGGTCTAGCAGTTTTGCCTTTAGGAATTGGTACCAAATATTTCTTTAATGACACATTTTGTCTAATTCACAAATTGTGATGATAAATCAGACTTCTCGATACTGTTTCATTAGGAATCATTTTTGTAAATTGTATGTCACAGCCCCTTCCCTCCTTTCTCCTGCTTTCAAGAGCTTGTGGCCCCTAAAATTGGTATAGCTTGAAGAGATAATTAGTGATAAAGTGAGTTTTTTAGGTGGCACAACCAAGATCAGTTGTAGAGAAATAACTGCAAATGTTGCCTTTGAGCCATTTTTCTCCCCCTTTTCAAACTTCTTTTCATGCTTCCTGGGGTGGAATTTTTGGCATGCAAACTTAAAATTTTGTTATGTCTAATACAGTAAAAAGATAGTATCCTTTAGGTTTGGAATAAAAAAAACCTGGTTTCTAGTGCCAGTTCTTCCACTGACAAGCTCTGAGATTTGGGGAGAAGCAAAATGACCCTTATAAACCGCTGGGGTCCAACCCCAGCAGGTCCAGGGGTCCCCAAAGGTGTGGACGGAGTCGGCGAAGAAGGAACAACACAGAGGCAGCATTCAGTTGATCAGCATGGTTGGGTTCTCTAGCCAAGTTCTGGTTTGGTTCTCTCACTAGGTTCTCCAGCCAGGTTCTCCAGCCATGTTCTGTGGCCAGGTTCTTCAGCCAGGTTCTGTCTAGTTTCTCCAGCCAAGCTCTGTAGCCAGGTTCTGTCCAGGATCTTTTGCCATGTTCTCTCGCTAGGTTCTGTCTCTAGGTTCTGTTGCCAGTTTCTGTCCAGGATCTTTTGCCATGTTCTCTCCAGCGAAGTTCTTCTGTCTCTAGGTTCTGTGTAGGTTCTGTGTGTAGGTTCTGTGTGTAGGTTCTGTGTCTAGGTTCTGTGTCCTGTTGTCTTGTTACATCTGTATTTATACCAGTTGATTCCAATCCTATCAATCTCTATTCCAAAGGTTAGGGCGTTTCTTATCTCCATTTCAGGGAGTAAAGATTATGTAGCTTAAGCATGATTGTTCATAGTTAAAGTGATTAATTACCCGCCTGGCACTTAGTTAAGGGGTTTTATTCCCTCCCTAACTTCAGGGGAAAATCCCTACCTGGGGAAACAACCTTTCTCAGAAAGGTGACCTTGGTTAAAACACATAGTGCCAAGAAGGTGAGCAAATATATTAAGAACAGTATGCCATATATGCCAGGTCTCTTGAAACAGCAAGGATGGACCGGCTCCCGGCAATAAACTTTGTTTCAGAGCCAAGCATCTTAACCTGTTTAGTACCTGTCTTTCTACTTCAGTTCTTCCAGTTCATTCCTTAACCCATTGCAAACTAGATTTTACCCTGCCACATCTCTACTCAAGCAGCAAACACCTCCTAACTTCAAAATACAGAGTACATTTTCCTCCCTTTTTTATTTGGCCCTGCTGTTTCTCCCTTTTTAAAAATTATTTATTAATTTTCTGAGTAAATTGGTAGTGAATACAGACTTATGTAATGAAAACATAGAAGTGTTCCTTAATTTCAGCACCCAGAAAAAAACACTGGCATGTTCACTGCCATTTATATGTACACTAGAGGCCCAATGCACAAAATTCGTGCAAGAGCAGTCCTTCCTTCCCCCAGCTGCTGGCACCAGCTTCCTTCTGGCATCCGGGACCCGGGCTTCCCTCACGGCCCCAGCTTCGTCCAGAAGGTCATCCAGAAGGATGTCTGGAAGGATGTCCAGTCTAATGAGCATATTACGCTTTTATTATAGATATCTAATAAAGTTGGGATTATATTTGTACACTGCTTTGTATCCTGTTTTTTGTTTTAATAACATTAATATTGTAAGCAGTGAATTCTAAAGGCTGTGTAGTTTTCTTATTATATGGTTTTTCCACAGTTCATTTTATCGGTTTTGGTTTTTGTGGTAATTTTAGTTTGCTTCTCTTTTTTGTACTTTTCCCCTGCCTCTTTCTTAGGTTTCTTTTCACACCTGCCCTTTAGGTTGTGGTGTTCTCCTGATTTTCCTTTCACGGCCCCTGAGTCTCCCACGGGTACCTGAAACAGATGTAACAAGGATAAATAAACTACATGTTTCCCTTAAGGGGTGTCAAGTGTGCAGAAAAGGGTGGTAGATAAGGGCAATAATCCTAATGAAATCCTGTGCAGCCTGCAAGCTTGTGTGCCTTCCTTCCTTAACTCTCCAGCCGTCCTTTTCCTCGTAGTTCCCTTAATGTAAACCTGCTTTTTTATCTTCTTTACTCTTAAATTTACACACAAATGATACCCCTTAGTGCAGGGGTGGGCAAACTTTTTGACTGGAGGGCCACAATGGGTTCTTAAACTGGACTGGAGGGCCGGAACAAAAGCATGGAGTGTTTGTGTGAACTAATATAAATTCAAAGTAAACATCATTACATAAAAGGGTATGGTCTTTTTTTTCAATAGTTTTATTCATTTCAAACGGGCTGGATCCGCAGGCCGTAGTTTGCCCACGGCTGTTAAGGGAAGAAAAGGAACTTCTTCCAGTGCTGATCAATCACAGCCAAAATTACTGTATTTTCTTGTGAATGTAAAAAAATTATCATTGTTATACATTACTGAACCACTGATAGGTGCTTTTCTGAATTCTAGTAAATATGAACTTTACTTCTGATTTATTATCACTTCCAAGGTACCTTAATCTTCCTTTGAATGTTTTAGGGAAAAGAAAACAGACTAAATACGCTTCCTTTCTATAGGAATTTGTATATTTTGAGAAATTGAGATAAGGATACTTAGTGCTTATTTTACTTTAAGTAAATAATATAATGTCTGTATAATAGACATCTACTCCAGCTTTTGGAGTTATAATTTAATCTTGTAACATAAAATTCGCTTTTGTAGTCTGATATGTAATTGCTGTAGCCAATCTAGAAATGCTTATTGAATGACTAGAATGTCAGTGAAAGCCTAACTGCTTTAAAAAAACAAAACAAGCAAACAAATTGTTGTTTTAAAGGAAAGAGTATAACCACATTAAATACAATCTGGAAAATAAGAGGCAAAAGTCCTACTCTTAATCTCACTTAACAAAATTGCTCATAGAATTTTCATATATTTGGTTGTTTTCAAATTTGTGTTTATGTGGTTTAAACGTGTCCTGCTTTTTTCCCACTGAATATTTCATTTTATGACTATTATTTAAATGGCTGCATACTAATCTGTTAGTTGCATGACCCTGTTGTATGCACAATGTTAATATAGGAGAGTTTTCTAAAAATACATATATGACTCTTAAGAAAAAAATAGTTATTCTAATAAAATAAAATTGTTTAGCACATGGGTTTTAATAAGTAGGCAAACGATAACCTTCTTATTTAAGGTCAGTGCCTTTTTGTTTTCAAACATATGAACCTGAAACTTGAGGAAGTTGGTCGTCAGGTGAGAGTAATATGTCAGCTGTGTATTTTGGAGAAGTTATCAACAGAAGTTAGTTGCTTATTCAAAGAATTATTGTCATGAATCTTATGTTACATTGTATTCTTTTATAGATTATGGAGCTTTGTGGTGCAACAAGACTTGGCTATTTTGGAAGAAGTCAGTTCTATATTGCTTTGAAACTTGTAGCTGTTGCCCAGTCCGGTTTCCCTTTAAGAGTGGAAAGTATTAATACAGGTAAATATGCGGCACATTAGTAATTGAAATGAAAATAGACTTCAAGTCCACAAATGAAGTTGAGTCTTTCTGATATTACAGTGGCATTTGTGACCTTGAGAAAAATGTCATGACTTTATTCTCACCACCTTGCTATTTAAAATTTGTAAATATTAGAACACATTTATATCTATTTTAAGTGTTATGGCATATATGTACTTCCTGCATATTTGATTATATAAATCTGTTAAAATGGTGATTGTTATAGCATAAATTTACTAAGACTTGTTTAGAATTTAGGTAAGTAATCTTATCAAAGTAAAGGGTGCATTGCAGTGACCCTGATATATGCTTTCTTTATATATTTTTCTAGGTATAAAGCAACATTATACTTTCTTTTCTTGTTTGTGAAAACTGAACGCTCCATATAAAATTAGAAAGCATTAGTTAACCAAAACTTTCTGGTTGATAGAGATACTATTAAAATATTGGCAGATTAAAACCTAGTTATAGGCATCTGACTGCCTTATGCGTATCACCTAGGAAAATTTGTTTTTCTATTATTTGGAGGTGTGTTGATAATGAAGTAGATGGAAATTTTATAAGGTAGGCACTTAAATGCAGAGTTTTGTGATTTTCCTAGGGAAAAGAGGAAAGAGAGAACTGCATTTTCTGTAACGTTAGGATTTTTATCCAGTAGTATTAGGACCAGCTGAGTTTTAAGTGCTCAGTGCTTAATGCCAGCTTAGTTGGAGGTTTTCATTGTGGACCCCTAGTGTGACGCACATCCTTCACCTCGTGTTGAGAGTTTACGTTCTTTTCAGGTAATTTTGAGTACTTTGCATAAACACTGAATAAACTTCATTTCCTCCTTAGTGTGGAAATTCTAGGGGAGATTTAGGGAATTATAGTGGAAGGAAGTACATTTTCTTCTGAAAATGATTCTGCTATGCTATTCTGGTCTAGACTGACCTACGGAATTCTTAGTTTTTTATTTTTCTTCTTTATTTAAAACAGAATGTAGAGCAGGGGTCCTCAAACTGCGGCCCGTGGGCCACATGCGGCCCGCCAAAAACATTTATCCGGCCTGCCGGGTGTTTTTGCCGCCGCTGTGTGCATAGGAATTTGTTCTTAGTTTTTTTTTTAAACTATAGTCCGGCCCTCCCGCGGTCTGAGGGACAGTGAACTGGCCCCCTGTTTAAAAAGTTTGAGGACCCCTGATGAGTATCTGCCTGTAGGAGTGAAGTAAGCCAGGCTAAAGTTGGTAGATTGAGCTGCTTGTACTGTGTCTTTGGTAGGTGAACAGTAAGATATTTTCAGGAATTTCTGCCATGAAAATGTTTGGATTAATCTAGTCTCAAACTTAGTGACATATTCTGTGTTTGACTTAGAACTCGAACATCTTACTTTAGAGAATTAGTGTGAGTAGAAACAGCATAGGCTTTGGGGTCAGACTGATCTGGGTTTAGATTTTGTCACTTACTGTCAATGAGCTTCAGTTTGCTTACCTGTAAAATAGGGACTTTGCAGGGTTGATATGGTTATGAGTGCAAACATAGGACCAGACATGCAATGGACATTTAATACAGCTATTTTTATAACCCCTTGGAAGGACAATTTGGTATTACTATTTCTTTCTAGGTTAGGGTCTCACTAAACAATTTAAGGAAGAGGATGAATTAAATTTCGTAGTGATAGACATTTTGTTTCTGTTGTTTCTGTATCAGTTTTGCAAAAATTCTTTCTAATATCTAATTCACCTCTTACTTCAGGTTTTAATGTGTGCATCTTTTTTTATTTTAAAGTAATAATTATTTTTGCCGTTAATAGTAAAGGACCTTCCTCTGCCAAGATTTGTTGCTTCAAAGAATGAACAAGAATCTCGCCATGCAGCCTCATATTCTTCAGATTCTGAAAATCAAGGGTCTTATTCTGGTGTTATTCCTCCACCACCTGGAAGGGGGCAAGTGAAAAAGGGGTCTGTAAGCCATGATACTGTCCAGTCTCGTACATCTACAGATCAACAGGTAGTCACGTGCATGTCAGTATTATCAGTTGACATCCTGTGTAGATGTTTTCACTAAAACTTTTACTGAATGCCTTAACAGTGAAAATGCTATCTTAAAATTAAAATTTAAAAATAATGATATTCTTTCTAGGAACCTGCATCTCCAGTAGTTTCACCACAGCAGTCCCCACCAACATCTCCACACACATGGAGGAAACACAACCGTCACCCCAGTGGAGGAAATGGTGAGAGGCCTCTTGCAGGACCTGGGCCATTTTGGTCTCCCTTTGGTGACGCACAATCAGGTATTTAGAAGTTCTAAATGTAACAGTCATTTATTAAAGGTGTAAATTGAAGGAAACTTGATAACATTCCTTTAAGAGTTGCCTCCAAGAAAATTTTTAATTATAAGTTAAGTGCCTTAAATGAAAGCAAATACCAACTGTGAAAATTTATAAGTAGATGTATCACTTTGAACATTGGTAATTGCATTTATTTATATCTATGATGCTTAGATAAAAGTTTATAGATACCAGATTCTCTGAAGGTAAAATGAATAAGTGATTATTTCCTAGAATATTATATATGTATTAGATTAGTTTCAGTAACAATTTAAAAGATTTAAATGAGATAATTTTAAATTGACAGAAAATATTTCATTTTGGAAATTAACATTTCTACAAAGTTAGAACTCAAAAGAAAACTTATATAATATGTGTATGGTGAATTGTTACAATAAAAAACCTGATAACTTTATATTCTTTAAAAGTGAGTCAGCATGTTTGCCCGTTCTGCTTGTAGGTTCTGCTGCTGGTGATGCAATGTGGTCAGGGCATTCTCCACCTCCACCTCAAGAAAACTGGGTCAGTTTTGCAGATACTCCACCAACCAGTACTCTTTTAACCATGCATCCTGCTTCTGTCCAGGTGTGACATTTTATTGGTATTGCATTTTTATTTGCTTCATTCAAAATACTGCTGCAGTCATTATTTTATATTTTGCTGTTGTGAATTTTATGAATGCAAATTCACTTTTATTTAAAAACCACAAAAGAAACAAAAACCAGAACTCTACTCTATGCCTTTTCTTTAAGTCTGTTATCATTGAAATGTTTCACTAAAAGTTTTGACTGATTTTCTTTCTAATTTCTTAGTGAACTTTTGAAAGGTTTCGGCATCTAGAAATATATTTGCTTGGCTTTCTTGGCACATTTTCATAACTTTCTGTGGCTTACACATTGCTGTCATTCTATACATTTATATAATCATTGTCCAAAAACATTCAGTAACCTAATTATAAGTATGTGGTTTGTGAAGACTTCTTATATTTTAAACATCCACAAAAAGTAAGTTTTACTTTCAAAGATAAATAACTTAGCAATCTTGGTCCATGTAATCATATAGATAGATACTGTACTGAGGAAAAAATGTTTCATTACAGGACCAGACAACAGTACGAACTGTAGCTTCAGCTACAACTGCCAATGAAATTCGTAGGCAATCCAGTAGCTATGATGATCCCTGGAAAATAACAGATGAACAAAGACAGTATTATGTAAATCAGTTTAAAACCATTCAGCCTGATCTAAACGGATTTATTCCAGGTGAGTTGTTAAAAAACAAATTTTTCTAGATGGGACAGTTCAAAGTCTCAGTTTCATAATCTCAAAGACATGGTTTTATTGGTCAGAGATTATAAAAGACTAGAGGCCCGGTGCACGAATTCGTGCACAGGTGGGGTCCCTTGGGGTGGCCTGTGGGGATCGGGCCAAACCCTCAATCCAACACCGCCTGCAGTTCCTACCTGCTCCCGTTCATCCTGGCCCCACTGTACCTGCTGCGGGCTCATGCCCAATCAGTCCCGACCGTGAGCCCTGCCTCTGGTGCCCTCCCAAGGGGAGTGGCCTGCAGGATCATGCTGAAACTGGCTCTTCAACATCCCCTGAGGGGTCCTGGATTGTGAAAGGGAATAGGCCAGGCCAAGGGACCCACCAGTGCATGATCAGGGCCAGGCAGGGGCTGGGGAGGGACTGCTGGAGGGCTCCAGGGCATGTCTGGCCCTGTTTTGCCCAGTCCCGATTGGGGCTGATCGGGGCCAGTAAGGGCTAGCCAGCTGAGGAGGGACGCAGGAGGTTGGCCAGAAGGGCAGGGACCGCGGGAGGGCTCCAGGGCATGTCCAGCCCATCTTGCTCAGTCCCAATTGGCTAGACCCCAGCAGCAAGCTAATCTGGTCAGAGTGTCTGGCCCCTGGTGGTCAGTGCACATCATAGCAAGCAGTTGAGCAGCCTTAGCATATCATTAGCATATTACGCTTTGATTGGTTGAATAGTCGACTTGTCACTGGATGACCAGACAGTTAGCATATTAGGCTTTTATTATATAAGATAATTAATTCTCAGATTGTCTAAAAAGAGTTTATAATTACTAGAGACCAAAAACATGACATATACACATGTTAAGGTTACCTTTTTTTTCAATGAAAAAGGTCTTAAGACCACATTTGATTCTTGGGTCTGTAGGTTCAGAATAATGCTAAACAACACTGTTTTAATATTTCAGGATCTGCAGCTAAAGAGTTTTTTACAAAATCAAAGCTTCCTATTCTTGAACTTTCTCATATTTGGTAAGTGTGGTGTATATTAGTTGGGTAATGTGGGTTATTTCAAAGGAGTTTCCAGCAGGTAGATTTTTTTAACCTTAAAAATAAAGTATTAGAATAACCTTTTAAAGAATGTTCTTATAACTCCGTATTGTCTTAAAATAGTCAGCTTCTCTCTCACTCTCTAGAGAAGAAATAAAGTGATACCAGTAGAGAAGTTCTTTAAAAAGTGCTAAAAGTCTTTAAGCTATAGTAGCTGTTTCTTATTGCTAGTATAATGCATGGAATAAAAGCTAGTTTGCTCATACATGGTTGTATTTATTCCATTTGGTTTTAAAAAAATTTAGTAAGTCCTATACCAGCCATGAGCTTAAGAACAGTGCTTACATGCATATAAGCATAACCAGTGGACACAAGACACTGAGGGGTAGGGGAGGCCAGGGGATTGTCAAGGGCGGGGAAAAAAAGGAGACATGTAATACTCTTTGTAATACTTTAAGCAATAAAACAAAATTTAAAAAAAAAAAAGAACAGTGCTTAGCACCCATTTAAATACCAACTGAAGACTCAGGATGGTTGCTGTGTGGTTGGAATCAGTCATTAAATTACAATCACAAATTACTTTTAAAAAACAATTGTCAGATAAACGTGTTGTTTCCACTTTATATCTACATATTTCTCTAAATTCTAAATTTTATTAATAGGGTTTTTAGTAGCATAGAATGCTATAGTAGGAGATAGGTAGATAATGCCTAAAACCAAAATGTTAAGAACTAGCAATATATACATGCTATTTATAGTTTAAGGTGATAAATTTAAAAAATGGTTGTTCCTGCATCTAGGAAATGGAAGGATAGCAGGGTGGGGCTGCTGTCTTTTTGTATCAAGCCTTGTAATTGTATTGGATTCTTTAAAATACATATAGACTTTTAATAACAATAAAAACAAAGTTTTAAAAATTTTTAGTGACTTACTAAAAAAGCTTGATTTCAACTAAGTCCTGCACCTAAAGATACATATGGTTAAAGGCCATTTCTTTGGTGACCTTATTTTTGGGGGGCTCTTTTTTCAGCATTTTATTATGAAAATTTCAAGCTCTTAGAGAAGTTGAAAGAATTGTGCCTTAAACCACCCACATGGCCATTGCCTATAATCTACAGATAACCGTTTGCTATATTCACTTTGTTACACATCTTCCCATCTATGGAATTTTTTAAATTATTGATTGCTTGCACTTTTTCTGAGAAAGGATTTCTCTTTTTCTTTTTTTCTGAGACATAAAGGGATCCAAAGTAGAATAGAATCCATTTCTGATGTTTTTCTTCTAGGGAACTCTCAGACTTTGATAAAGATGGAGCATTAACACTGGATGAGTTTTGTGCTGCTTTTCATCTGGTAGTTGCTAGGAAGAATGGCTATGACTTACCAGAAAAACTCCCTGAAAGCTTAATGCCCAAGCTGATTGATTTGGAAGACTCAGCAGGTAAGATCCAGGAGCTTGAAGAGACCTGATTGCGTGCCTTGACAAATAACACTTGGTTCTCAAAGCACAATCTAGATGTTAAAACTTCGCTTAAAAGCATAAGCATTTCATCAAGGGCATGTACATTTGCCATTAGAATAAGATGTACAGCCTGAACTGGATCAATATTTTGTCTGTTTAGTCAACTGTAAACAAAGATAAAGAATATATGCCACTATTTTATTTTACACTTGTGACCTGCTGAGATTTGAAGAGCATTTCACAGTGCCTTGCTATTTTGTTATCCTTTAATTACATTTTATATTATCTGAAGTGGGGAAAGTAGCCTGTCTTCATTATCAACATTTTTCCATTTAATGCATCTTAATTTGTTGAAGGGAAATACCTGGTTTATCATTAGACCTTTGCAGTCTGCAAGCATTTTCCTTTTAAAAAGCCAATTTCTTCAGATGCTAAAGAAATCTGGAAATTTAGTGTTTGATGTGGATAATACTACATTGTTGTCATGTTTACAAGAATGCTTTTATAAATGCTCATATTTACAGATAGTTTTATTTTAAAAGAAATAGAATATAGGGGGTAAAAAATGAGTACTTTCTTTAAAATTCTGAATGAATAAAAGGAAATCTAATGTTAAATTAATGAGTCTAATTAAAACTAAATTACTGTCTTTGGTTTTTCTATCTAAGTTCTTTTTTAGATATTATGATGGAAGGAATTTTATACTTTTTAAAAGAGAAGTTAAAATAGAATTTGGCTCTCAAAACGGTATTCATCTATTGGGCAGCTTCTGTTTAACCCAGAATTGCATATGATCTGACTTTATTGTGTAAATTATTCAGTAGGAATCATATGCGTATTGTTATTGTCAAAAAGAGGACTATCTCCTTAGATTCAAGAATCTGTGTGCTTCTAGTTTTGCTAATTATTCCTGTGACTTTGGGCAAGTTCTTTTTGTTTTTCTACCTGAAATGTGTATTTGATGCTATTCACATTTCAGGGCCTGAACACACTGACCTTTTATCAACCAATAAGTCTATTTAAAATTTTAGGATTGGTTTTAGTTTTTTATAGAACCATTATCCTGTGAGAATCCTAGAGTTTTCCTGATCATTTTAGGCAGTTATTAGGTATCAGTTAACCTCTAAAAGAACTTCATTTGGTTTATTTCATAGTAGCCAAAAGGGAAGAAATTGTGGTAGCCGCATACTTACTGTGCCATTGATTTTAAAATTAGGCCTTGTGTCTAGAGTTTTTCTATGACTTTAATCCTTTAAAAACTGACAGCATAGTATAATTTAAATCAAGCTTATTCTGTTGTATGTCATTTTCTTGAGACTTGTCTGATTCTGTTATCTGTTGCATATAGATGGGTGAATCTGGCTTTTGCATGTAGTCTTTTTTTCCTCTCTTTTATTTAATTTAAATAAAATCTGGGATTCTTTGTAAACTTGATCTACTGCCTGAATTTTAAGGCTAATGATTTAAGTAGAAGTTCTTTTCTGGGCATTTTTCTTTTTACTCCTGTTAGATCTGTTTAGCACAGAGTCACTCTTATTTTTCCCCCTGCATATACCTCTATACTATTGTTCTAATTATAATTTTAAAGGCATTAAAGGCTCATAGTTGTGTGTTTTTTTACCATTTGCACATAATCTATGTAATTTTCTGATGAAACTTATTGTAAACATTTGACCACACAATATTAACTTCAAATCTTCTTTGCCTAACCACTAAGTGATAAATTTGGAATTTTGTTAATTTGGGGTTGGGGGAATGATTAACCTTTTTTTTTCTCCCAGCTATCATAAGCCGGAGATTCATATGCCACAAGTCCTTTGAATATAGAAATTGTCATGTGACACTGTGGATCAATCAAGATCTGTAAAAATCCTTTTAAGTAGCTGTGTTTTTAGAAGTTCACAGTTGAAGGGGAAACCACCCAAGCAGTTCCTTTTGGCTGACCTAAAAATTGATCATAAATATTTCCTCTATGGAGCTTTTCTGACTTTCAGACAAAAGTAGTTACTATCTTCTCTGATCTCTCATAGTATCTCCTACGTGCTGCTTATTGTGGCACCTATCACACTGTTCTTTTTTTTTCTTTCTCTTTCCACCACTACATTCTGAGTTAATTTTAAAAAAAAGAAAAAAGGAAAATATGTCATATTCACTGTAGTATCCCCAGGCTCTAGCACTTTGCAGGCATGTGCTCAGTTGCTCAGTAAATAACTGCTGAGTGAATTAATGCTAAATGTGTGCCATTTTTAAAGTAGGATATTTTTCTTAACATATTTCTGTCTTTGAAAATATAGTCTTTTGTTATATGTTTGTAATGTTGGGACATACTGAAATATTCACTCTATAAGTATTTTATATTTACAATTTAATAACTCATAGAAAAATAGATGGTGAAAGTGATTACTTGAGTTACAGTTTGGAGAAACGAGCTAGGCTTTCTAAAAACATACAAACATGGGTGGGATAGATACATATTTTTTCCAAAATTATTTGAACAAGTTTATGGTATTAAATAGATAAAAATGCTAAGGGTCATAGGTATAAGTACGTACACAGACCTGAATTAAAATACTTATATTTATCATCAGCACTAAATATGGCAACTAAAGTAAATAAAAAGGGAAACTTGATTTTTGTTGTCTTACAAAAGAAAGCATATAAAAGTTCATCTGTGGAAACAGTTTTCTGAACCTGAATTCAAGAAAGTATGTTTATCTTCCAAGAATGGTTATCTTCTTTAAAATAAAAAACGGTTAAGGTGACCTGCTAGCCTACCACAACAGTGTATCATAAAGGGGAAAAAAGCACGTTAAGATACTTTGCATCTTAATCTCAGTCTCCAAAGAATCTTTGTTGTAGCACAGTTGCAGTTTTACATACACTGTATTTTATGTGATTACTAGAGGCCCGGTGCACGCATTCATACACCCATGGGGTCCCTCGGCCTGGCCTGCGCCCTGTCGCAGTCCAGGACCCCTTGGGGGATGTTGGACTGCCAGTTTCGGCCTGATCCCCTCAGGCCAGGCCGAGGGACCCCACCAATGCATGAATCCTTCTGAGATTCATCAGTCTGTTCCATGTTTCCATGCCTGGGTATTGAGCATCTGCCCCCTGGTGGTCAGTGCATGTCATAGCTAACGGTCAAATGGTAGAATGGTCGCTTAGGCTTTTGTATATATAAATTTGATAGATGAGTGCCCCGGTGCACAGATTATGCACATTGAAAGGAAATTAATTGAAAGGTGGCCAGCGGGGTGGGTCTGGGTGAGACAGGCCAGACATGCCCTGGAGCCAACCTCCCACGGTCCCTCCCCAGCCAGCCACACCTGGGGCAGCACTGTGGCTTGAAGGGCATCTGCAGAGAGAGCAGGGTCCCTCAGGTAGGGTCCCTTGGCCTGGCTTGCAGGGATTGGGCTGAAACTGGCTCCCTGGCATCCCTGGATTGCGAGAGGGTGGTTCTCGGGTGACCCACCCCAGAATCGGGCTTCCTCCTCTCTGGTTCTGGGGTGCGTCACCCAAGAACCACCACTGCCAAGTCAGTGCAGCTCAGCAGCTCCTGCATTGAGCATCTGCCCCCTGGTGGTCATTTCATGTCATAGCTACCGGTCAGATGGTCACTTAGCCTTTTACATATAAACTAGAGGCCCGGTGCACAAAAATTTGTGCACTTGGGGGGGAGGGGAGGTCCCTCAGCCCGGTCTCTGCCCTCTCGCAGTCTGGGACCCCTCGGGAGATAACAACCTGCTGGCTTAGGCCTGCTCCCGGGTGGCAGAGGGCAGGCCTAATCCCTAGGTGCAGCCCCTGGTCGGGCTCAGAGCAGGGCCGATTGGGGAATTGGGGCGCTGTCCCCTGTCATGCACAGAGCAGGGCAGATTGGGAGGTTGCGATGCCACCCTCAGTCACGCTCAGGGTAGGGCCGATTGGGGGGTTGGGGCACCGCCCCCTGTCACACTCAAGGCAGGGTCGATGGGGAGGTTGCGGTGCCACCCCCTGTCACACACAGAGCAGGGCCAATCGGGGTTGGGGCACTGCCCCCTGTCACGCACAGAGCAGGGTCAATCAGGGGGTTGGGGAGCTCCCCCGTCACGCACAGAGCAGGGCTGATCAGGGGGTTGGGGCGCCGCCACTGTCACACTCAGGGCGGGCCGATGGGGAGGTTATGGCTCTACCCCATCACACACAGAGCAGGGCCCGTGGGGTGGGGGGGTTGGGGCGCCGCCCTCTATCACCCACAGAGCAGGGCCGATCAGGGGGTTGGGGCGCTGCCACTCTCACACTCAGGGCAGGGCCGATGGGGAGGTTATGGCTCTACCCCGTCACACACAGAGCAGGGCCTATGGGGTGGGGGGGTTGGGGCGCTGCACCCTGTCACACACAGAGCCGCAGGGCGATCAGGAGGTTGGGGAGCTCCCCCCTATCAGGCACAGAGCAGGGCCAATCAGGGGGTTGGGGCGCCTTCCCCTGTCAGGAACAGAGCAGGGCCGATAGGGAGGTTGTGGCCCCGCCCCCTGTCACACACAGAGCCGCAGGGCGATCAGGGGGTTTGGGCGCTGCCCCCTGTCATGCTGATCCCGGTGCCGGGAGACCTCGCGGCTCCGCTGATCCCGGTGCTGGGAGGCACATTACCCTTTTACTATATAGAATAGAGGCCTGGTGCATGGGTGGGGGCTGGCTGGTTTGCCCTGAAGGGTGTCCCGGATCAGGGTGGGGGTCCCCACTGGGGTGCCTGGCCAGTCTGGGTGAGTGGCTGAGGGCTGTTTTCAGGCTGGGACTGAAGCTCCCAACCGCTCCTTTTTTTTCTTTTTTTTTTTTTTTATTCTGAGCCAGCTTTAGCTCTGAGGCTCCAGCTCTTAGGCCTCCGCTCCTGAAAGCAGGTATCTGGTTTGTTTCAGTTCTATAATCGAAACTCTGTATCAACTCCAGCTCTGAGATCCCAGCCGGCTGAAAGCTCGTTTCTGGGGTTTTGTTTAGCTTCTATA